TAAAATAAAAATAAAAATTAAAAAAATAAAATAAATTTGGTTCTAATTTAGTTCAAATGCATTTTTTGAATGACAGATTGAATTCAGACAAAAAGTAATTTAGGTAATTATTTAGAGAGTAAATAATAGGTCCTTAACTATGGCTATGAGTATAATAATTTTGGGGGGGGTACCGGGGATTGAATTTGGGACCTTGCGATTGTGAGGCAGGCAGTGGAACCACTGAGCTAAATCCCTGGCCTGAATATAATAACATCGATGTCTCTTTGATATTTTAACTATAGATGCGTTAAAATATAAAAGTATTATCGTGTATGCAATTATGTAATATTCTTATGTATGCAAATAAATCTATGCATCTGTGACTTAATCACCTCTGTGGCCAGAACAAGTAGGCAATGTCAATAAACAGCCATGTACCTGTTGTTTTTGACCCAGTCCTTAACTTATGTACTTAACATAGATAAGAACTCAGGAAATTAAGGTAAATGCAAGTATTATCTTGCCCGGGAGAAAGGCAGACCAATGGAGGGAAAGGAGGTTTATGACAATTGCATAACATCATATGATTAGGAGAAGCAATAAGAAGGCTAGGAGCTCTACTCAAATAAAACTCTTAAAAGGAGTTCAGAAGACTGAGTAGAAATTAGCTAGAAGGTGGAAATGAAGACCGTTTAGAGAATATCATAAAGGTGGAGTCCATGAAGGGATAAAAAGTTTTCTGTATTACCAGAGCTGAAGGATCACTGCTGTGAGTATAAATAGTTATTGATGAGAATAACAGTATAGGAAAGAGAAGAATAAATACATTTATAGAAAAATTATATAGACATTTGCTCGCTATAATCAGGAGTTTAAAGAGTTTCTTTAAGTAAAAAAGTTGTAGACAGAACAGCAATATCATCTATCCCAAAGAGAGAGTGATGATGTCTTGCCCAGGACCATGTAGAAAATAAGGTTGAGGTATGGTCCAGCTTCAGAACCCGTGAAACTAGCATAAAAAGTTGTATACCTCGAGACACCAAAACCATGTTTGCTCTAATGCCAAAACTTCAATAGAAAAGAAAAAGAGGGTCTAACTAGTTATTTGAATTTATCCATCAATTCTCTTGTAAGACAGATAAGCCACTGAGAAATTAAATCATGGTCACAGATAAAAATATATACAAAAATATATTTATTTAAATGAGAAGTTTACTCAGTAAAAGTCTACCTCAATAATTCATCTAGTAATATCAAGTGTATGGCTATAATAATAAACTTGCCTATGAAAAGTCAATACAATAACACAAACAGATCAATTTTGGGGAACTGCAGCTCCAAGTTCTAGAATAAAGTTCCAAGTCCCAGCATAATCTGACTTATTATTAATTATTTAATTTTAGACAATAGGCCTAATATACCTTTTATTTTCTTCTCCTTTCATTTGTTTTCTTTTGGTGCTGAGGGTGCTAGATAAGTGCTTTAGCACTGAGGAACACTCCAATCCCTTTTGCTGATTCCTAATATTACCAAACAGTGGAGTAGTGGAGATTTTAAGATGTACCATGTCCCCCTTGCAAAATCAGTTTGAAAATAAAATAGGCTAAATAAAAGCTCACGAAAAGTGCAAGTTACTTTACATACATAACAGTATCTTTGCTAAATTTCTTGTTTGCTTTAACTGATTTTCTTAGGAACATGGACATTTTGTTTTCATTTCCTGGTGGAGACTGCAGTAAAGGTTTCTTCCTGGTTTCTCTATTGGTGGAGACAGCAGCTTTTTCTGCAATTAAAGTATGTTTATTCACGACTATGAATTTTATGTTAATTCACATGCACAGAGCTTAGCAACTGAGCCATAATAACGTGTGCCAGCTTTGTCTTATTAAGAACAGCATTAAATTGCTTAGTAATAGGTACATTTTATTTTATTTTTGGGTAACACCTAAAATATAATATCTAAAGACTATATGTTTAAAATATGAAATTCCTAAAAGGCATAGCAATTGCAATTCATTATTAATAAATAACAATAAATTCTTGGTTTTGAATTTTAAAAACAAATGAAAGCATAGATACAATTTGTGGATTGAGACAAGAAAAGTGTCTTCAGTGGTCGTGTTGAGTGCTACAGGGTCATATATATCAGCCTTTTTCCTTTTCCTTTTCAGGTAATTCCCACTGTTTTAAGAGCAGTGCATCATGAAGACGAGGAAGCTCTGCAAATCGCGCTGCTGGATATTGCTGAGAACCTGAAACACGCTCTGGAAGTGTTCAAGAAGATCGGTGGCAAGTGTCTTTGTGCAGTACAAGAGCTGAGGCTCACAGTTAGTCCCTGATTGTCTGAAGTGTAGAATTGTTGAAAAAAAAGAGGAAGCAGAAACCAATTATCACTTAGGGTATTCCCAGTGATGTATTTTATCTCAGTAAATCATTATACTTTCCCTGGGGTTCGCTTTAGTAGCTCCATTTCATGGGTAAAGGAGTGTGTGTCCTTTACCTATAGGTAAAGGAGATCTTCAGGTTGTTTAGGTTGCAAACAAGAAAGGCAGAATCCAAGCTGGGTCTGTGGCACTCTAAGGAGCTGCCTCCTCTGGTACCACAATTCAAGTGGTTCTGGAAAGTCAGCTTCTGATAAACCATGGCTCTCTGCTAATTATGCTTCTGTCCAAGGTCACTAACAGCAAAGAAAATCCACTGCGCCCAAAGGCTGTTGAGATTAACAGCTAAGTGAACTACCAAAAAGAGTTCCTAAACAGCTATTTACAAAAAGACATGAACCCTACAAGATAAATCTCACAGATACGTGAATGTTTTCCCCTGGGCTTGGGGTTCCTGAGAATTGCTCTTTGGCAGGGAGACAGGTCTTCGAATGAAATGTGTCATGTACGGGGAAGGAGACCCTGGGGTATGGTCTAGGGAGAGACTGGATTTAATTAATTAAGTCATTCAGTATTTATTTGCAGTGCTCAAGATGGAGCCCATGGTCTCATGCTACACTCTAGCCTTGTCTTGGTTCCTGCCTCAGTTTATCCGCTGTGAGCACCTGAAGTGATGTGAAGGAAATAAGCCACTGTTGAGAGTGTAACTGACCTGAGGGTGCATAGCCATAGGCAGGCAGCTCTCTTGTCAGGGCTCTGTAGCAGCCTCAGCACAGCCCAAGCGGTGAGCAGCAGAACAAGCCAGCCCCGGGGTCCTCCTAGGTGCAGATGCATTTCCCTGGCCTCTGCTGACAGACTGTGCTTTCTTCCCACCTGGGCTGCCCTGGTGAACGCTGTGAGACTGAACACTTTCCATCTTTTTCCAGGGTATGTGGACCCCAATCTATTTTACAAAGTTCTTCGCGTATATTTGTCTGGGTATGTAGTGGTTTCCTTAAATTTCTTATCTCTCAATGAATAGAAAGAACACTCCAAATTCTTATTGGTGCGCCCAGTAGCTGTTGGGTGTAGATCACCATTCCTAGCCTAAAATACCTGTTTTAGAGAAAGAACAGATGGTATTTATGGTTAGCACTCGGCCAAGGATGCCCTGGAGGGGCTGGAGAAACTAAGGATTTGTGTGACTACAAAGACAAGGTTCCTTTCTGAGAATATTTGCTGTCTATTTTTCGCAGGCGTGAAAGTTAGTAGGGGTATGGAAGAAGAGACATGAAATGTAGCACTTGTTTCTTTTGTTAACCTCTGGTGCAAAATTTCTCAAAATTTCCAATTAATCCATAAACTGATTTTTCCTTTCCTTCGTGGCCTAGCTGGAAAGGCAACCCCGAGCTGCCTGAGGGCCTGCTGTACCAGGGTGTCTGGGACACACCCAAGCAGTTTGCAGGGGGCAGTGCAGGGCAGAGCAGCATCTTCCAGTGTCTCGACTTGGTGCTGGGCACTGGGCAGACCACTGACAGAGGTAGGTGGGAAGTGAAAAAATAATTACCTCTCACGTCCATGCCGTCACTACTTTCCTTCAAGAAGACTTTTCCTATCCACGTCTTAGCTTACTTGTCAGTGAAGCACGGGCCACGTAGCCATGATTCCATCTCACCAAGGAAGCAGACTAACGGCTCCTTCCCGCCAACCAGGAAGTGGCGTGGTCAGAAGTCAAACTCACTTTGTCATTCTCCAGATTGTAGACTCGCTTGGGCAATGAAGCCCTGATTACTTTGGAGAAACCAGTGTCCCATACTCTGAAACTGTATGGCCACATTTAAAAAGTCACCAGCAAAAGATACCCAGCTGTGGGCAGAAGGTGGGGCTGCAGAGACCTCAGCGTGGCCAGCAGTCAGGACCAGGTCTGCACCAAAGTCATCGAACCAAGTCCTTTATATTCCTTCTGAGGCTTTGAAGGAGGGCAGAAAACCTCTCTCTCTCTCACTCTCTCTCTTTCTGTTTTCTTAGGCTTCTATTTAACAAAGGGAAAGGTATTGGCTTAGATGAAAATATGCTTTTTCTTAATTAAGATACATTTTTAAAAACGATACCTTAAACTCCTTTAAACTCAGTGTCGTGATCTGGCGAGCGCAGATTAAATGCATCCTGTCTACACTAGCACCCTCTTGGAAGAGCAAATACACTAGAAGATGAGAAAGAACACACAGAGGAAAATGCCTGTGAAAATGAGCTTTGTGCTTTCTCTTTTCAGAACTAGTAACAGTTTCGATAATTAGCGGCGCTAGTAGACAGAGTAATAGCGGTTCCGCCTTCAGAGAGGAGCCCCCGGCTGGTGTGATGTCGCATCATTCTCATCTTGGCCCTGCCTGGGAAGATTGTGGTGTCCTGGTCACATGTCTCTGTCTTGCCCTTCAGGACCTGCCGCTGAGTTCCTCAAAGACATGCAAGCGTACATGCCACTCGCACACCAGAAATTCCTCTGTTTCCTGGAGTCCTGCCCATCAGCCCGTGAGTTTGTCCTTTCCAGAGGCAGTGCTAACTTGAAGGAAGCTTATGACAAGAGCGTGCAAGCTTTGGTCTCTCTGCGGAACTACCATTTGGGAGTAGTGAAAATGTACCTTCTGGATCCTGCAAAGAATCAGTCCAGGGAGGAGAAAACTGCTGGGGAGCCATCGGAGCAGGAAAGCAGAGGCACGGGAGGCACGGATTTCATGAAAGTCCTAAAGACTATAAGAACAAAAACCGCGCAGTCCCTTTTGAAGGACCGTTAGTTAAGCTTGCTCTAGCAAGGGTGTCAGCAATGCCCCTAAGTCTTTGTCTGTTCCTATAACTGCTCATGAATTAATAACACTCAAAAATTTACTCAAAAATTCACTGTAGAAGATTTTCAATTATCTTTTTCTGTTCATTCCTCATAGGAAATTACCAAAAGATAATTACATAAGAATGACAAAGATGATATTAGATATTTTGTGGCATATATTTATTATTAGAATATATTTATGAAATTACATAAATAAAAATAATGTACAATATAATAAAATGTGCTTCATTCTTAATTCTGATTAAATATTCCTCCAGAGGAGACTATTCACCCTGAGCCTTCAGAGGGCTAATAGACTCCTGGGTTTGAAAATGCTGACATCAAACTGTCTCATAACTGTTTATTTGCTTGGCCACATTCTCATTGCACAGTTAGCTTCGGGATGCCAGAGACCTTATTTTTTATCAGACTCAGCTCTTATAAGACACGTGAAAACCTGTTAAATGAATATATCAAAGAATGAAGAAATATATGAATATGTGAATTGAGCCTAAGAGGGAAAGGCCACCTCTGAAATACAGTCTCTCTTGGGAGGTCAGGTCATTGAATGTTCACGCTGTGTGATTCACTTACTTAATGATGTAGTTAGGGCTTGGAGAAATGTTAAGTCATCCTAGCTACCTCTTCATTTTAACTATGACAAAATTGTGCCTTTGGTGATAAAGTAATTTATTTAGGGTCATAGAATTAGTTACAAATACGAGGGACTTTTGCTTTTCTTGACAACACTCATCTTTTTTCCCATTCTGCTCAGAATAGAGTAGTGTAAAAGGAGAGGGCCTTTGAGTAAGGAGAGGAGCTGAGATGACCTGGCAGGGTCTCTCAGGACACAAACACTAATCTACCCTAAAGAAGGAGACACCTGGGACATTTGCAGGAACATGAATGCACCAGGACACCAAAATGGTCAGTGACTTTAATCAGACACACGCTTATGTGAAAAATGTGAAACAAAAATAAAGAGAAAAACAGAAGCTAGACACTAGGAAAAATGAAAATAGATCTGCAAAAGGGGAGACAAGATGAGGGCAAGGGGAGAAGGGGAAGAGGATAAAAGAATCAATAAGAAGGAGCATATCTGGTACTGACTCCATGAGGAATGTAATCATTCAGTATTGCAAATATGTACTATTAAAAAGCAAAACTGAAAAAATTGCAAGCTAGATGTGAGAGGGGTTATAAAAGTAGGAGAAGAAATGCCTCATAATGGTCCCATGGGTGTGGGATTAGCAAGTACTTTGAGTTCATGAAAACTTCAGCCCTGAGATGGAAAATAAGACTGGAATTTAAACAGGTGCATAAAATTTAAGGAAGGAAATGCTCAAACTTCTAAACACAATGTAAACATTGCTCCTCAAATATGCTCTATTCCCCTATAGCCAAATGCACTGGAAGATTTCATTTGATTCCCTGGAAAATCCAGGGAAATTTCAGTGCATATGTGGTAGGCCACATTTTATCCTTTGTTCTTCTTGTGAATGATTTTGCAATGAGGATGCCATAAAATTTCACAATGAAAAGCATGTATGCATTGTAACTACACATCTGCACACTTGTCTTAGTTACTTTTTCAACTCCAGGACAAAATGCACAATAGTCATAACTTAAAAGAGGAGAGACTTATTTTGGCCCATGTTCTTGGTCATGGTCTGCTTGGGATAAAGCAGAAGCACTTTGGCAGTGGGGCACAGAAGAGAGAGAAAAAAAGGCTAAATCTACAACAGCCAGGAAGCAACGACAGAAGGAAGAGCTGTGGAAGGGTGTACCTCTTTCCAGGTCACGCTCCCAGTAACCTGCGCCTTCAGGCCAGACTCCACTTGCTGAGGACACATGCAGCTATGAATTAATGTACTGATGCGTAGATTGTCATGATCCAAAAGCCTACCTCGGAACCTAAGGCTTTTGGAGGACATTCTAGATCTAAGCCATAACAACACTGAGTACACACACAACTAACTGTACTGGTGAGTAACTTCAAAAGGACAAGGAGGTAGGCTATCACATTGTTAGGGTTTGATGCAGTAGGGAAGTTCTGAGAGTCAGGTGGTTGACATGTAGGATCTACCTTGGACAACCATCAACTTTGTGGCCTTAAGGAAGTCCTTTATATTTTTGTAGGATGAGCATAGTAATGCTTGATGTTGTGGTTTGTGTATAGATGTGCCCTCAAGACTTGTGTGGTCTTAGGTGGGGCTTTTTCAGAGGTGGCTGGGTCTGGAGAGTGGGACTGATGCTGGGATTAGGGGTGGGTGATGACGAAAGCAGTCCACTGATGATTTCAGCACCACCCTAATCCCGGTAGCCTGGGGAGAATATACAAGAGGCAGAAAGAAGCTGCTAAAGCCTCTTGCTTACTTTTGTTACCTTCTGCCCAGCATGAACTGTTTTTCCTCTGCTATTCCTGTCTTCCGTGCCCCCCTGCTTGCAGCCAGCCAATGATGGACCGAAACCTCTACAAACTGTGAGTGAAATCAACCTTTCCTTCTTTAACTTCGGGTGTTGGGTATTTTGTGTTGGCAGTGAGAGAAAAGTAACTAAGACACGTGCCCCGCCTGCTTCACAAAGTTGCTGTGAGGGATGATGTGTGAAGTATAATGAGCTGAACTGCTAAGAAAGTGCGCAGCACCAACTCCAGTATCCGTCAGTCCCATCTCCGGCACCACTCAGTGGCTCTAGGTCAAGACACTTCCTATGTTTTCCTGCCCACTGTGCTGATCATTCTGTCCCTAAAGCCCTAGGAGGCTGTAACATCACTTATCATTTCAGAGTTACCCAATTAATGCCCAGTCGCACTGAGATGCAGAACTTCTTAATCCTCTGCGCGAAGCCCTGTATCTTCACCGTCAGGGCACCGCATCCGTTTTGACTTGGGGAGAGAAAGGAGTGGAAGAAGGAGGACACAGGGTTATTGTCCCAGACAGTGCCCTACAAATAAGCTTCAGAATGTCTACACAAGGTGTGGACACTTATTCCAGAGCCTCCCTCTTTCGGCCCTGATAAAAGAAAATGGATTCTTGCTTTTCCTCTAATGAATTTAGATCTGGATTGAGAAATACGAAGCAAAGTACTGGATATGTCTCTAAAAGCGTCTGTGTCACCCCCTGTACCACACAGTCTCTGCTTATCACGGTGAGGGCCGCTCTGTGAGTGCAGTGATCAGCAGAGGGTGAAGCTGACACCTATTACCGGAGAAGGTCTTAACCAGACAGCAAGTTAGTAGCAGGTTCCCACTATGTTTGTCCATTTTCTGTTGCTAACAGCAAAATATCACAAGCTGGGCATGTCAGCCATCTTTGGGTCACAGTGAAAAGCTACTTGAGAAAAGCCAACTTGAAGAATGAAGGGTTTATTTTGGCTCAAGGTCTCAGGAGTGTTTATCCTTGCTGAGGCGGCTCCACTGGCTGTGGGCCGGGTTGAGGCAGAACATTTCAGTGAGGGGTACGTGGGAGCAAAGCTGCTTACTCATGGTGTCTGGGAAGCAGAAGAAAGAGGCCGGGACCCCAGTCTTCCCTTCAGTGCCTGGTCCTGCTGGTATCTGACTCCCTCCCAGCAGTTCCTTCTCATCTCCTAAAGGTTTCCCAGCTCTCAATAGAACTACAAGCTGCCGACCGAGCCTTTGGCATATGGGCTTCTGGGCCACATTTAAGGTAACACTGGGGAACTTACAGGGAAACGTGTATTTCGACTCATCGTGCTGGCCTAGGATGGACAGCCAGCAACTGGTGATGCTCTTCCTGATGCCAGCGTCCTCAGCAGGCGGAGGACCAAAGAGCAGGAGACAGGGAGTTTGTGATGATGATCTCCCTCACTCTTCTGAAAAAGCTTCCAGGACTCAGTGTCCTAGACCTCATCTAATTAATTCTAGCCACCTCTGAGTGCCTCATACCTACATACCATGGTCAGATTGAGTTTCCTTCTCAATACTGTACAGTGTGGATTGAATTCCAACATGACTTTTTCAGTGGATAAACCATATTGAAGTCATAGTGTGACTTTAACAGAATTGATCGTCATTCTATCCCAGTCTGTGTTCTAGAAATTCATCATGGTGTATTTCTCTACACAACATTTTCCATTAGCCAGGAAAGTCGGTTAAAATATGCATCATTTCCATACCAGAGGCTCCAAAAATTAACTATTTTTAGCCCATGCCTCTTATAATTGACTTTTGCATGCTTTAAAGTTTATTTTATATTTACTCAAGGGCTCATGCAGAGTCTGAGACCTATGTTTGGTCAGCTACGAGCTCGATGTAGAAATTTTCTCATTTCTATAGAAATGTTTCAGATAACAATAAAAATTTGACCAGTTAAAAGTTCAGACAGACCAAAGCTTTGCCAAGATAAGCATACACTTGGTAGTTTCTGAGGTTATTGGCAACTCTGAGATGCAATACCCTAAATATGGCATGAATCCATATCTAAAACCTTTGATAAGATGGCAAATCTTTTGTTAGTGCTGACACCAGGGCCTTATTTATACATCGACTCGTTTACTCTTTAGAGAAGCTCTGTGAAGTAGGTATTATTATCCTCCCCACCTTAGAGACAGGCGACAGAGATGTCAGGAGGTCAAGACATTTGTTCAAGAACATTAAACCCTTTTAGTCTGGTTCGAAAGATCCTGCTCTTCACTGTTCGAGAGCGAATGAAGATTTTCCACTTCCTGTGGGAATCCCACTAGAGAGGGTCAACAGCTTGATTCACTTTCATGAGGTGTTCTTCCAGTCTTTTAATAGTTAAAAATTCAAAGTTCATAGAGCATTCATTTTGATGTCAATTGGCTCACAGAGATACGGCATTACATTATGTTTCCACTGGGCGATTCTCTAATTGTTCAACCAATAAGAAAAATTGCATATGATAGAGGCACAGAGTAAGATCGATTCATCTAGCATGGGAAATATTTTAAAGGAAGTAACAATAATGATTACCTTTAAAGTGGAAATTTAATTGTTGCCACTTAATTGAAATGTTTATGCTGAATTTTCACCTGAAAAAAACACTTAAGAGCTTGTGTAACTTGGCCTGTTGAAGTAGCTTTATACAATTCAATAAATAAACACAAAAATATGAATTCTGCAAATGTGCAGGATTCTGGCATACACCTCATTCCGGTAGAGCAATTTTTCTAAAGTATAAATGA